AATAAATAAATAAATAAATAAATAAATAAATAAATAAATAAATAAATAGATAGATAAATAAATAAATATTTCAAAGAAAGGTACAGGAGAATTCTTACTTATGTAATTTCAGCTTCAGAAAACCAGTGGAGGAGTAATAGTATGCTTTTATAAAAACGACCTGATTCAAATAACGAGCTAATTAATCAATAAATTCAGGGTTTTTGATATAATGCCTTAAAGTAATCATTGGCTGTCTGACAATTGTATGTGTTCATATATCAGAAAGGCTATACATGTATCTGTCTCTGTCTTTGGTATAATCGCATTTGCTTGTAATTAGATTTAATTCAGTAAACATTTATTAAGTGAATGCAAGATACTTGGTTTGATGTTAATATTTAAAGCTGAAGGAGATTAATACCACAGCAAAGACCAAAAATTTCAGTTGCCATTGAACTTTGGAATAAAAAAATCATAACTTAGTGATAATAACTGAGCTTGAAATAGGAGTGTAACAGGAAAAAGGAGGCAGGAAAGAATGGGTGCTCTCTACTCACCTTCCTGTAACTACAGTCAGGTTAAAAAACAGGGCTTTGGCCAAGATCCCAACAGGACAGTTAAAAACAGACAAAAAGAGAGTGATGGTGAAGAGCATAAAGACTTATTCAGTGTGGTCACACTGAGAAGACGAGCAGATAAAGGGGTCAGCGAACCCCACATTCATATCCATGAGCTGTAGATGAAGAAAGAAATGGGATGGGGGGGGCAGTGTAGCTTTAGCAGGTCTGGTCAACGTGTGGCCCTACTCAAGGTGGTCAGGTGATGTCTTGCTTATCACTTGTGGGGACCAAGTAGTTCTCAGGAGGTAGTCACTTCTACCCCAGGATGCAGGCTTACTCTCATGGATAGCATCCTATAGAGGGTCATTTTTGCTGGGACCCAGGCAACTGCAGATTTAGTGTACTGTCTTAGAGAGCCCCCAAGCCTCCAAGAGGATGAGATGGGCGGCTACTATTTGAGAGAATAACATGCTGGCCTGCCAAGAGAAGCTGGTGATCCAAAATGAGGCTGGGCTACATGGCAGCTCAGTCTCCAAATGGTTCCCTAGTAAAGGGAACAGAGACTATCTCTGACATGAACTCAGTGGCAGGCTATTTGACTTCCCCCCCTCCGAGGGAGGAACAGCCTTGGTAGGCCACAGAGGAGGACATTGCAGCCAGTCCTGTTGAGACCTGATAAGTGAGAGTCAGATGGAAGGGGAGGAGGACCTCCCCTATCAGTGGACTTGGAGTGGGGCAGGGAGGAGATGAGGAAGGGAGGGTGGGATTGGGAGGGAATGATGGAGGGGGTTACAGCTGGGACACAAAGTAAATAAACTGTAATTAATATTAAAGAAATATTTTTTTAAAAAAAGAGGCTGGGCACAAAAAAGAAAAAGAAAAAGAAAGCAGTGATGCCAGGCTTTTACTGTGCATTTAGCTGCTTTGCAGGGCCCGTGTGAAGAGCAAGGGCATCTTCTAGGGCCTCTTGCATCCCTGCTTTGCTCCTACATGACTGAAAGGAGTATTATTCTTTAGCTTGTCTTGATCTGACTGAAAGGCAGTGTTCTGATTTCCAACCCTTCTCCTTGTTACCATTTTAACCCTAAGATAAAATCTTTCAGAGATGACCAATCCAAACTTTAAGACAAATAGTCCTGTAGTAAATATTAAAACAGGTTCAAAATGTCATTGATTTGGAGGTGGAGAGAGCAAAGATCATTCTGCAGAGCATGGCTACTGTGAGAAGAAAACAAAAACCTAGTTTAAAAAAACAAAATGGAACCAGAAATATCCAGGGCAAAGCTTAGGCTTCTAGAACACCACAAGGAAACAGGAGAAAGGCTTGTGAGTGGTGGTAGATGGGGTCTCAGAAAATGGGTAGAAAAGGGGTGTCTGTCACGCTTTCAGTTGCCTTAGATTTCTGTTTCCTGTAAATCAACACAATTTTCCCCAACTTTTACCCCACTATCTAAGAAGTTCCACTCAGAGAGTTGAATAGACTAGCATGAGAACATGTCTTAATCTTTAGGGAAGCAACGTTCGAGATAAATATAAGCAGCATTCTTAATGTGCAAATGTTGCTGTAGAACTATAAGATATTACTGTAGGCAGTAATGAAGATCAAATCCAGAGCCGTGAGAATGCCAAATAGATATCCCACCACTGAGGAATGCCCCTCAGCCTAGGATACACTTTTAAAATGCGTGTTAGATTGCTTAATTTTGCCAGTAGCCATATAAGGCTGTTTTGGGGGGTTTTGTTCTTTTGCTGTGGAATGTATGAGCACTGATATTCAGTCTGGCTTCTAAAGCCCACACAAAGGAAAAAGAATCCACCAAGAGGAGGACAGACTGACTGAAAGCAGTTGAAAGAGCATGGAAGAGCATGAGGATGGATAGACGGGCCAGAGGAACACGCTAGAGTCCAGACATTGAACCACAATTATTTGGAAAATTGGTTTTCAGCAGATGCATCAAGACAGTTTAATAGGGAAAAGAAAACTCTGAACAAAGTGGATAAATGGTAAAAATGGAATTAGCCATATGAAAAACAAACACCACAAACAGAAATTAAATTAAAATGGATCATAATACTATAAAGCTTCCTTTGGGGGGGAACATGAATAACTTCATAATGTTGCATAGACAAGGGTGCTATACAGATGGGACTCAAGAAATGTTTTTTCATACAAAAAACAACAAAAAATGGCAAATTGTGATTATTAGGCTTTATGAAAATTACAAACTATTCATCAGGGGAGGCATAGCCACAGGAAATACTTTCAATACATTTGATTAAAAGTGTACGCAAAATAATGCATATGACACTTATTAATACAAAAATATGTGCTGTTTAAACAGAGAATTGGCAAGATATTTGAACAGAAGCTTCACAAAAGAAAATATATAGCTGGCTAAAATGTGTATTAAAAGTTTCATGTCATTAGTAACCAAAAATATAGAAATCAAAATTAATCACGTGGACTCATTCTCTCAAACATTTCTACAGGTGTGTCCAAAGAGATAGACCTGCCGGACAGAAATGAGAGCATTAACAGGATGCCTTGCCACCTGCCATAGCTTGGGGGTACAAAGCTATGGCTGAAAGATCTGGCTTGAAGATGTGGAAGTGTCACTATAACTCACTGCAGAAGCCTAAGTCAGAAGTCTGGTTCCAAGTTGTTGAACAAGTCCATTCTCAGTCTTCTCCAGAATGTAAAAATATTCTAACTGATTCTGTCTGGCCTAGTCTGATTAGACCAGACTAAGAGAAACGATACTGTGCGCGTGTGTGAATGTGTGTGCGTGTCTGTGTGTGTGTGTGTGAGAGAGAGCACGCGCGTGTGTGTGCATGCATGTTGTGTTGCAGATAAAGCATGCAGAAGTATTGTCATTCTCTAGCCATGCACCTCTGTTTTATCCACTTTTATGTCTCCTGCTTGTTATGGCCAATTGCTTGAAAAAAACACTTTTCTCAGAGTTCATGTTTATCTCTACTCTTTCTAATTGTGCATACCAATAAAAGCCTAATTCTATATGCATTGAAGTAGAAAGCCAGACACAATCAAATACAACATGGTAGAGAATACTGAAGTCCTATACCATGCAACTAGAAAAACTGTCTCAAAGTTTCTCATAAATCTAAACAAATTGATATGTCAGCAAGACTATTTCTAGATATTAACCCAAGAAAAGTAAGAATGTCCACAAAGACCTCCAAGAACAATCAAAACATTCATGAGCAGAAAAATGGAAAAATTAATTATGATATATTCATACAAAGTTCTACTGGCTATATCATAAGAAAAAAGCAATAAGCTGCTGATCACATGATGGCATGATTCAAGCTCATTATTATGCTAAACAAAAAAAGACCAAGCACAAAAGCATATGGCTTCATTTAGGTAAAAGACATTTTTTAAAAGAAAACTAATTTACAATAATAGAAGTGAGAAAGTGGCTGATTCTATCAGAATGAGGATGTAAATGACTGGGAATAAAGAATCTCTTTGTCTGCTTTTATTATAAAACCCCTTACGTGTGTGGAGTTAGAGGTTACAGCACCTGTGGTTCTGGAGACAGGCTAGTCTGAGGACATGATCTTTAATCCAATTAAGGATCATGAGAAGGCAGCCTGCCATTCCAGTCACCAAAAATAAAACTGAAATAAGTAAGCAAAAAAATATGTCTCTACGTACATGTATATTTATAAATGTATAAATTTTAGTGTATATGAAGTTTACACTTTATGTGTGTGTGTTTGTGTGTGTGTGTGTTTGAGTGTGACAGCTATTCTCAGTTGTCAACTTGACTATATTGGGAATAAACTACAATCCAGAAATGGAGGGCACACATGTGATTTGGATCTCAAGGAAGGAAGATAACATGCCTTTGATCCTGACCTTGAGGCTGGAGGACACAGGCTTTTGATCCCCATCTTGAAGTGGGACGACACCTGCTTTTGGATCCAGGTCAACACAGGCCTTTATTTCAGACCTTGAGGTACACATGTAATCTGGGCCATACCATCTGATGGAGGGCCATATACGGACAATGGAAGAAGGAAGGGGTTGCTTGTTCTTCACCTGCTTGCTCTCACTTTGCCAAAATCCATTGGAGCCTGCTTCTTCAGAATTTCAGCTTATACAGTAGACCAGCTGAAACACCATGTCCCATGGGACTGAGTACTATTATATTCTTGGAATTTCCATTCACAGCTGGCCATTGTTGGATTAGTTGGGCAGAAGCCTGCAGTCATTCCAATAAGTTCCATATATGTATGAAATTATATATATATATATATATATATATATATAGAGAGAGAGAGAGAGAGAGAGAGAGAGAGAGAGAAATTTATTCCACAAGTTCTGTGACTCTAGAGAACTCTGACTAATAATATATATAGTAAAATATATGTAATAATTTAACCATGCCCTTCAGTGATGTATTGGTGACTTTCAAGTACTGAATTCACAGAAAATTTCAAATTCGTCAAAGAGGCAGTGCACCGCTTTTACTGTCTGTGTAATAGCCTGTTTCTTTGACAGCACATAAGATTACTGTCTTATTACCAGAATGTACTAATAGAAATGACCATCTTTTTTATCAGAAAGCTTCTCTTCGATTAGAGCGGTCCACAGGTAAAGAGAAATCACTTGGTAAATCTCATAGAGCCCATTTTTTCCTCTGGCAAACTTGTTTAAACTTCCTCTTTTTTCTCAGTTTTGATTTAGTAACTTTAGATCTGTGCATTATGTTGTGTTTTGCAGGGAGTTATTGACTTCAGCCGAGGAACCGTGAACAGTAATTATTTTGCACGACTAAGTTCTGGTACACCATTGTCAGGCAGGCACTTTACAGTACCACAAGTTTCAAAATTTAGAACAGAGCTGTCACACAGGCAAATGCATACAGCAAAGATCTCTCTTTTCAAGCTCCAGGCATGAGCTCTGTGATGCGCAATGATGGAGTGAGTTTGTGTGTGCCTGGGAAGCTCCTCATTTGACAGCCGTGGAAATGAAAGCCTGCTCCTTTCTAGAAAAAGAAACACTGTAGCAAGGGTACAGATTTTCAAGAATAACTGAGGCCTGTCCTCCTCCCCCTCCTCCATGCTAGAAAGGGGTGACAGGCAGTGAGATTATTAAGCGCTATTAAGAGTTCTTGTGATGAGCAGAGAATAATCAACCCCAAATTGAGAACTCCTGATTTGACTCTTGTCCTTCAAAGCCTTTGTAATCAACTAAGAAAGTTTTTTATGGAGCTATACATTTATACTCAATTAAAAAATCTTCTCATGTATCAAATACTCATATTTCCTAGTATGTTTCAAACCTGAGAGTACAGCACAAACACTCATAGGAAGGGACATATATTTGTGTAAATTAAATGTCTCTTTTCTCTTAAGCACTGACAAAGATGGCTCACTTGGGAACAGAGGTTTAAATTATTTCTATTCTCCAAGTACCTTGAAATGTTAAAGTACATCCATTTTTTTCCCCAGGTTTTCTCTTATGATATTTTGAGGCTCAAAATAACACTTTGAGACAAGTGTATCCTCTACTCATAGACTAAGAAACTGAGAAGCAGAGATTAAATAACTTGTAGTGTCATGTAGCCTTAAAAGAAAGAAAGAAAGAAAGAAAGAAAGAAAGAGAGAGAGAGAGAGAGAGAAAGAAAGAAAGAAAGAAAGAAAGAAAGAAAGAAAGAAAGAAAGA